CTTTTTCAAGCAATCGTGGCTGCTGAAGGGCCGCCACCGCTGCCGGATGTATCGCGATCGGGAACGGGTTCTTGTGCTCTTGGAGCCAAGAAATGCAGTATGAAACGAACAGAGCAGACGATAACATGTTTGAATACATGCAATATGGCCGAAGCTGGACACGAAACACGGGTATTGAAGTGTAGAGTTCGTTTTAGTCACAGTGCTTTTTCAAACAGTCTCGGGCATAAAGACTGCAGCCATTTGGGTATGGGTCTCATCAAGGCAGGGGATGACGTTGTAGATCGGGTCAATGGTCTGTAGGCGGTAGGGTGACGCAGGAAGTGGTGCTGATTTTGAGACGCAGGGATTTTTTCGGTTGGATACGTGAAACATTGCACGAAATCGGGGGACCTGTGGGCAGCTGCGTCTTTGTGATGCAGGTGTGGAATGGACCGAAGCAAGGCAGTCTAGGAGCGAAGATGTTTTGCTTTTGCTTGTTGCAGGCAGTAACTTGTGCAGTAGTGATGTTTTGAAGCAGTCGAGGTGGGTTTTGCAGAATGCGAGTAGTGTAGAAGCAGAAGACCAGCGATATCGATGCAGCGAGTGATGCAGTTGGGCTCAACAGCTGAGGTAGAGGGTAAGGCAAAGAGAAAAAGAGACATTCATTGTAGTGGAACAGCATCATGCATGTACCAGAGGGAAAGACACACACAAGTAGCACTTTTTCTTGAGTGAGTGCCGACAAAGGAACTTGTGCTCTTGGAGCCGAGTGGTTGTGTATTTGCCGACGAAGGAACTCGTGCTCTTGGAGCCGAGTGGTTGTGTTTTTGTAGCGAGAAGTCATGGCGACATTGATGGCGTACAATCACCGGGTAGGCAGTGCGGCTTTGCAAGATCTGTTTCCTGGCTTTGCTTTTTCAGAGCTTCGGACTATCTACGTGAGGTTACGTGAGGGACCACTATAGAGCGGCAAGATGTCGCTATGTCCGTTCGGGTCTGTAGGGTGGATCGCTTTATCGAAACGGTCCGGGAACCACGGCTTATGAGTGACGGCTACGTTGCTGCAGTGTGTCTGGGTGAAGTTGCTCTTCCGGAAGATGGGCAGGAATGCGCTAGCTTGATTGGGCGGCACCATCAGTTGTTGGCGAAGATAAAGGAAGCAGGGCAGTTCGCTGCAGAGAATCGTGTTCCGGGGATCACTCGGCAGCATGTTCGGAGGCTGGAGGCTGCTGCCAACTATCTTGGTGAGATGAGGGGGTTGGAGCCTGGTCTTTTGACTTTGACAGAAAAACCAGTGTTTAGAGTGTCCATAGCAGAATTTTTGGGCACGGAGGAGGCGCCAGCGGAAAGAGCGAACTTGGCAACCTGGATCACCAGTGTGCCTCGGGCGCAGACCGGCTGGATTCCTATGGGTGGCACGCGTGCTTCACCTCGAAACATGGCGACACTCCTTCTGGGGCAGTTGCAGAGAAAGCTGCAGCAAACTGTCCGGGAGTCCGAAGATGTTGGGGCCCGTTTCCAGCAGTCATTCGGGATGCGGTGAAGCCAAAACGCAGTGGCGTGGAGGTCACCCGTCTGTTGTTGATGAGCGAAGAGCGAAACCGAGACTGGAAGCTGAAGATGATTTGGGTTTGTGCAATGGAGCAGGTACGCGCCTGGATTGATATGCCAGAGAGTGATTTGTACGGACGAGGCAGCGTGCACTTTGTATCGAATGTGGGCAATTTTCGGCAAGACCAAGTGTCTTTGCAACCTGTGGTGAACTTGGAGCGAGCGGTGTTCAATTCCAGACCCTAGCAGCGCAAAATAGCATGGCGGCGCTTATAGAAGGCGCCACCTTGCACTCTTGGGGTTGTGTGCCAGCTTTGAATTGCAATGACCAGCAATATGCAAATGCAAATGATGTTGCACGTATGTTTTCACATACAGCTCAGATGCGGTGGATAATCGTGGACGAGGTCAGCTGTGCTTCGCTTCGTTTGCTGGGTTGTGTGGAAAGGAATTGCCGGCAAGCGCTGATCCGAAGCCCGTGGGCGTTGAATGCAGACAACCAGCCGAGCTTGTTTGGTGGTCTCAACGTCATCCTGGTAGGTGATTACGAGCAACTGCCCCCTGTTGCCGAGAAGTCTGTTTTCAGCAACCCCTTTGAAGATCGAATGTTGCTGAACGGGCCTGAAGCACGCATGTTGGAAGCACTCTGGGGGTTAACGACCGAGACCATACCAAGCGCCCCAGATCATTGTATTGCGCTGACTGTGCAGCATCGAGCTACTGACCCTTGGCAGAAGCACGCGCTAGAAGAACTTCGTACCGGAACAGAAAGTTGGGAAACATACTGTTTTACGCATGGTCTACCAACGCGTCACGTTGGATCGTGGCTTCCTGGTGCTGCTGCGCTTGCTTGTGGCAGTGGTTTTTGTCAGGCGTGGTGGTTGGGGATGTTGGCTTGATTTAAGTAGGTTGAACTGATTTTACTGATGTATTGACAAGGGGCTCGATCCATGTTTGAACTCATGTGTACAGGACCTGGATCAAAATCGTTGGCCAGCTACTTGGCACTTATCCCCTTGGAAAGCTTTGCAACGTTTGGAGTGCAGGACATGTCAGGTGGAACGAGCACGACGCTGTCGAGTGATTGCACCGCAAAACGCAAACGCCAAAGCGCACTTGGATCACAAATTTGCGCAAGCGCCTTTCATACAACCAGCCAAAGTACTATACGCGCAGCTTCTGCATGCAGTCACGTTCGCAAAAGCGACAGGGAAGAAGATACTTTGGCTGGTGGCGCGCGACATGCCTCATGATAGCACGGGCCATGGGATAGAAACCTTGAGGAAGCAACAGCAGCAGTGGCTACAATTACATGATAGGAGCACGGCCGGGATTCTTGGAATGCTACCACTCATTGAGGGCATGCCTATTCGATTTACAAGGACAAGGCATGGCAGGTTGTGGAGTCCACCGATCGACACCTCAAATACATTAGGGGTCCTGCTACAATGAAATTTCTTCAGCGTGGAATTTTCGTTCTGGCAATCAAGAAAACAGAGTGGACGAATTGGTATTTCATGTCATTTTCCCCATCAAGATTTGCACGAGTCCACTGGTTAAAGTGTCATGGAACGTGATGCAACGTGATGCAGGTACTTCGAAATATGCTGGGAAAAAGGGAGGAATGCCATGTTTCACCCTGTAGATGTGACGCCACTGTGAGTCGGTGCGAGCATAGCACAGTGCTCGGTGCAATGCACAAATGAAGCCTTTGGTTTTGATTCGGAGCAACAGGTCATGTTTTGCATGTGCGAAAGGTCGACGCTGTGGCTGTTGAATTGTAGATGGTTTGATCCCGTTGAATACCGCCCAAGCTCCCCTGGGCGGAGCTCGATTGCGCTACCTGACAAAACGTACAGCTATACGACAAGTGTGGCCACATGTGCACCTACCTGAAGCTATCATGGGGGCAAATGGGACGTATCTTTAATTTATTCCAGTCCATTTCGAGACCTCGTGGGGCCATGTTTGCGACGTTCAAGTCCCTATTTCGAGAAAACACTATGTTCGACAATATGGAAGCTATGCTCGTTCAAGTCCCTATGACTTCTAGGGCTATGTTAGGCAATATCTTCACTCTATTCCAGTCCCTTTTGAGCCCTCGTTGGGCCATGTTTACGACGTTGAAGTCCCTATCTCGAGGAAGCATGCTTGAGATAGTGACTTCTGGGGCTATGTTCGACCATATGGAAGCAATGCTCGTGAGAAAATGTTACCGTTCCCGGACCTGATCTCTGCTTATCTCTGCTCCTGTGGAGCCAAATATCCGGACATTCAAGTCCCTATCTCGCGGACACCAAGTATCCGGACATTCAAGTCCCCCATCTCGCGGACACGTCCTTTAGATAGTGACTTCTAAAGCTATGTTAGGCAATATGGAAGCTATGTTCGGTCACGTTGGGGGGGGCTTTATTCCAGTCCCTTTTGAGCCCTCGTTGGGCTATGTTTACGTCCTTTAGATAGTGACTTCTAGGGCTATGTTAGGCAATATCTTTACTTTATTCCAGTCCCTTTTGAGCCCTCGTTGGGCCATGTTTTGCGTTCAAGTCCCTATCTCGCAGACACGTCCGTTAGATAGTGACTTCTAGGGCTATGTTAGGCAATATGGAAGCTATGTTGAGCCACGTTAGGGGAGCCTGTTCAGCCAAATGTCCGGCCTCAGTCCAATTACACTTTACCGCGCAGATGATTCAAATCATGCAAAGGAAGAAATGGCATTTCTTGCATCACCAGGGGCTTCAAAATAGCACGAATTCATCTTCCAGCATTTTAAGCCGGTTCCAAAAACGTGAAAAAAACACAGGATTCTAGAGCGAAAATGCCCCCCCCCCCTAGCTAAAACTATTGGCTTGCACAGGCTAGCTTGCGTACTTACGTATACTGCGTGCCCTATAAAAACGCCTCGGCACCTTCGGTGCGGGCGGATTTCGGACTCTCCCTGTTGTTCGTTGACCAAGTTGGTCCGGCATGTTCATTGTTTTGGAATGAGGACCAAAGTTGTACGTAAAGAGATCCTGCAAAATTGGTGCACTTGCGAAGCATCCAAAGGTTGCAAAACAACAACAAATTGCTTTGGGCAGTTGGTACCCACCAATATTTGATGGGAGATCTTAAAGTGAGGTTGGATCGTCGGGAGGAAAACCACTTACTTTCTACCAACTCAAGAGAGCGGGCTGAATTATGTTGGGACTGTAGTATAACTATAAGTATATGTATGTTGCAATACCACTGGGGGGGTCTCGCGATTTTATGGATATAAAACGGTGGACATTCTCCATATTTTGGGAGCCCTGACCCCTAGATTCTCTATATTTCGAACCATGAGAAGCCAGGTGCCACCTCACAAGAACTGCAGTGCGAACACAATTTTTCTATAAGATCACTACCCCCCAAAAGAATTGCATAAAACGAACAGTTTGTTCAAGAGACGTGCCGTGTTTAGGGTAAGAACCTGCCCATCAAGCGACAGCATGCAAGCCCAACAGCGATTCGATTGAAATATTGGCCAAATACGAGCCTTGGATGTGAGCATGGAGAAAGGCATTCTATATCATTCAATACAATCCACCCAGGCTGAATTCTTTTCACACCCTGAAATGAGCAAACAACAACGATTCCACTTCATGAAAAGGCTATGGTCGGCAAGGATCTCCAGCCCAGTTCTCCAGCAAGCGGTATTGCCACATGCACCAGGCACAGTGCACAGCCTCGGATTTGAACACCACCATGAAAGTAGAATCTCAATAAAGCTTTGTCTTTGCAACCAACTTAGCATGATGCCTCAGGGACGCAACTTAGCATGATGCCTCAGGTACGCCCAACTTAGCACGATGCCTCAGGTACGCCCAACTTAGCATGATGCCTCAGGGACGCATCTTAGCATGGTGCCTCAGGGACGCCCAACTTAGAATGATGCCTCAGGGACGCATCTTAGCATGATGCCTCAGGGACGCACCTTAGCATGATGCCTGAGGTACGCCCAACTTAGCGTGATGCCTCAGGGACGCATCTTAGCATGATGCCTCAGGGACGCACCTTAGCATGATGCCTCAGGGACGCAACTTAGCATGATGCCTCAGGGACGCATCTTAGCATGATGCCTCAGGGACGCAACTTAGCATGATGCCTCAGGGACGCAACTTAGCATGATGCCTCAGCGACGCGCAACTTAGCATGATGCCTCAGGGACGCGCAACTTAGCATGATGCCTCAGGCACGCCCATTTTAGCATGATGCCTCAGGTACGCCAAACTTAGCATGATGCCTCAGGTACGCCCAACTTAGCATGATGCCTCAGGGACGCAACTTAGCATGATGCCTCAGGGACGCAACTTAGCATGATGCCTGAGGTACGCCCAACTTAGCATGATGCCTCAGGGACGCCCAACTTAGCATGATGCCTGAGGTACGCCCAACTTAGCATGATGCCTGAGGTACGCCCAACTTAGCATGATGCCTCAGCGACGCATCTTAGCATGATGCCTCAGGGAAGCACCTTAGCATGATGCCTGAGGTACGCGCAACTTAGCATGATGCCTCAGGGACGCACCTTAGCATGATGCCTCAGGGGCGCCCAACTTATCATGATGCCTCAGGGACGCAACTTAGCATGATGCCTCAGGGACGCCCAACTTAGCATGATGCCTCAGGCACGCCCATTTTAGCATGATGCCTCAGGTACGCCAAACTTAGCATGATGCCTCAGGTACGCCCAACTTAGCATGATGCCTCAGGGACGCAACTTAGCATGATGCCTCAGGGACGCAACTTAGCATGATGCCTCAGGTACGCCCAACTTAGCATGATGCCTCAGGGACGCCCAACTTAGCATGATGCCTCAGGTACGCCCAACTTAGCATGATGCCTCAGGGGACGCAACTTAGCATGATGCCTCAGGTACGCCCAACTTAGCATGATGCCTTGGGGACGCAACTTAGCATGATGTCTCAGGGATGCCCCAGTTAGCATGATGCCTCAGGTACGCCCCACTTAGCGTGATGCCTCAGGTACGCCCAACTTAGCATGATGCCTCAGGCACGCCCAACTTAGCATGATGCCTCAGGGGACGCAACTTAGCATGATGCCTCAGGGGACGCAACTTCGCATGATGCCTCAGGTACGCCCATCTTAGCATGATGCCTCAGGGACGCCCAACTTAGCATGATGCCTCAGGTACGCCCAACTTAGCATGATGCCTCAGGGGACGCAACTAGCATGATGCCTCAGGTACGCCCAACTTAGCATGATGCCTTGGGGACGCAACTTAGCATGATGTCTGAGGGATGCTCCACTTAGCGTGATGCCTCAGGTACGCCCCACTTAGCATGATGCCTCAGGTACGCCCAACTAAGCATGATGCCTCAGGTACGCTGTCTTGTCACAGTCACCACCTTTTGCAAACAACCATGTCTCTGTCCTTGCTCTATTGTTTAAATTGCCCGTGTCCGGGTCTTGGCTTTTTGTCATGACCCTTTCACTGGATGGGCATTCGTCGACCAGGTGGGTCGGGAGTGCTCGTTGCAAAGTCTTGGGGTGGTTCATACACACCGGTGGAGTTATCGGACGGCCATGTTTATTTGGGGTGACATCTTGTGCGAGCGCAAGCGTCCCCAAAGTCAAAAGGTGGGTTTCATTCTCCACGCAACGTGGCTTGAAATCACATTAAACGTGTGCACTCAAAGTCATGTACAACATGGCTGAGGTATCCTTTTCAGTGCACCCTGCATCATCCTCTTTCAAGAAAATAATCACTACATCCGTCGATGTTACACCCCTTACTCTCTTTCTTCGATAGTTGAGTCGACATGACGTGTTTGCGCTTTCAAAGATATCCCAAAGGTATTCCCCTCTCTTCAAACATTATTGCTTTATACCTTGCAAGCATAAACAATGCCTCCCTGGTTGGCTGATCTGCCCGCATCTTCAACCTTCATGACTGATGTCTTAGGATGTTTTGCGAATTTGATGGATGCCTCCCACCATGCGGTCGCACGCTCAGCTGCTAGTCACCTCCCAGTTAAAATTCATGCATGCGTTTTGTCTGGAGTGTTCAGGTTACATCGATTGTTTTCAGCCCACATCGACCCCAACCCGCACAGTCTGCAGCTACCCCTCGCCCGCACTTCTGGTCTAGGGGCGAACGTAGAACCTAAGCTCAAGACCAGCATCAATCAACAAATCGTCGCGTTGAATCTTGTTTCTGATATTGGAAGGTATATTTCCAGCTAGACCACAAGGGTGTGTATTGAAATAGGGACACCTCCCCAAACACCCCCTGGCAGAAGAAACAAGACTTCTCCCTACTGAAATACACCCACAAAGACCTTGGGACGCCAGCTCGCTGTTGAAGCTTTACAGCCATGACCAAGTCCCATGAATGAATGCACTGCACTGAGACACTTCTTTCCAGGCTTGGGAATCTCAGCAATTTTGCATTTTCGGACGTGCCGCAGGAAAAGGAGGAGGAATCCTTAGCCACTCTGACTCATTCCACTAGAAACACCGCCTTTGACATCTCTATACATGCAATTACATACCTGGTATTGACGTTTATTTGAATCAAGGACATGCATGGCACCTTCGTCAATATTATCTTTGTGTTTCCTTCCAGGTTCATCGAACATGCAGCGGACTCGAATCACTGCAGCCAAGAGCTCGAACGATGCACAAGATCGTAGCAGTGTGCATCCGCAATGCCTTACAGCGCGCCCCCGAAGGATTGAAACCGCTCAAGGGCCAAGAGGTCTTTCTTAAATGGATTCATGATTGACCCATACAAAAGTTTCACTGAAGGCATCTGGACATAGAAGCGTGGCCCACAGACCAAGAATTGCGAAATGGTTGAACCGTCAGCTCCCATCCGGCCAACTCCTCAAGAATCATCCTCTCTTCTGGCCCGGTTGCAGATAGAGTCCAGGTCTTGTCGACATTGCAAGGCGCATGTGGCGCATGCCCGTGACCACCGTCATCGTCTCCACCTCCCAAGCGGCGACCCGTCTCCGAATCCGTCGGGTGCTGGTTCTCAAATTCCGTCGCCACTGTGAAGGTCGCTGGAAAAAAGAACAAGCACAGGGCCTCAGTCCGACCAGTGAGAGTTGGAAAGAACAGGAACCACAAAAGGCATACAGGCCATACAAGTATACAGTGCTAGTACTGTGCCTCATTTAGATATGATGACATAAAGGTTTCATAGGATCCCTTCAGTCTACTTTCGTTGGGAAGTACTTAGAGCCTGAGAGCAGCCATGCAAGTTTAAACTGCGGATTATGTGAGGTAAGGCAATTAGGTATGAACAAATATATATAGTCTCCTTGCACAATACTTTGCCACCAAATCCCAACATGCAATTTACCCTCCTGTCTGTCAAACAATATGCTCATCCTCGTGTAAGTATGGCCGACAACTATGTCATCACGCTGAAGGTGGTGAACATCTTCTTTCACAATTAACGATTACTCCTCATCATTGTCAGAAACAGCAACAAACTCCAACTCGTTTGCATGTTGCTATCTCAAGACTTGAGAGAGTCTGCATGCAACTCTGTTGGTCAAGAATGTCGACGGCATGAGGACAACAGCGTCCACCAATGGGCAAGCACTTGAGTCGAATAAATTTGCCATGGAACAAAACATGTTCTTCTGGATGGTACGTACACCTCGTCTCATCTCTAGGATCTTTCATGCTCTATCATGCTCTGTAGTGGTGGTAGTGGTCTTTATATATATATATATACATTTACCTCCCGCCGGTTGTGGAATCGCACGTGTAGTCGTGCAAAATTTGATTCAAAAGTGCAAGCCCTCTCAGTACTCTTGCTTTTTCGATGATGTTTTTTGGGGGTCCCGGATCCTTTCATTTTTAAAGCCGAATCTGCCGAAACCCAAGCGCCAGCGCAAAATCCGTCGCCGCTTTTGTCCCGGGCTGTCCTCAACTTTCATGCGTCCTGTCTCAAGTAGACTTGCGCAGTTTCTTTGCACAAGTTAGTACACGTGGTGTTTTCCCATCGCCACTGCCATCCGCGAATGTACATATCAATCTTTGGATTGAAGGATCCGTCTGACTTTGTCAGCAAGCTCGGTGGAATCGCTGCCTTGCACAGCTTCCAACAACTGCGAATGCCATGCAGTACAAAGTTGCGAATGCTATGAAATCGATGACAATGTTATGAAAACGATGACAATGTTGTGCAACCGATGATAATCTATGTTGACAACGGCCCTGAAAAATATTAAGGGATATGGCATATTTTGGGAATCTGCCCGGCGCTGTCACTCTCGCCCCTTTGTATGTCTCGCGGATGCGTTGCAGAACCACAGTGCCGCTCGTAGGTGACCTGGGCGCGACAGGCGGATCGTACTGCTTCAAGCATCTTGAAATAAAGACCCAACGTGCTAAAGTCTCATCTTAGAAGGACAGAAATCTCAAACTTCAACTGTTTTGTCAGTTGTCTGCGCAGCAACTAATGCGCACGCGCACACATGGACACGAGCGGATTCTTTTATTTTGAACCTGCGGAATCTCTGCCTGCAGTTGCATCAATGTGGGTGGTAGAACCGCAGAACCGCAGTGGGCAACTTCAGGGGCGGAGCCGAGCCAAAGAAATAGCGGCAAAGTGGAGCGACTTTCGTAACTTTGCAAGCTTGCAGGTGAACTGGTCCGGCGTAGCCTTGATTCTCAGGCATCCTGAAGCCTCCAGATTTGGGCTCTGTAGGCAAGTAAGGCTTTTCCCTGCTCGCTCTTCTAGCGGCGATGGCTGAGTGTCCTTGACATTTCTGAGCGATGCGGGTAGCCGGGTAAGCCACACTTGCTCTACTCAGAGCATTTCCACCTAACAAACCAACCAACTAAAGAAAGATAATGTTTCTTCAAATTTTTATCAAGCCTCTGGCTCTTTTCCTGTCAGTGTGCTCAGCAAATAATTCATCCGTTTGGATCTCTTCCTTCTGCGTGAGGATGAGCTGAGGGTGGACAGCTGACCCCAATGTATCCCTCACTTGCTCAGCCAGCTGGTTTCGCACCTGGTTGTGGTGCTGAACAGCTGCGCAGCAGCTTCAGGCAAAGCCGGACCGTGATGAGCATCCACCTGATGCATATCTTCAGGCACAGGCGCTTCAGCTGCTTCCAGCACATCCGCCATCTGCTGAAGGGCTTCGGGAACACCTTCCGCAGGCTCAGCGGCACCAGCCGCCTCAACCTCAGGTTCTGCGTCCGCCATGGAGTGCAATCACCAGAGCCGCGAACCGAAGAACCGCAGAGCCAAAATGCTGCCAACAAAAAACATGGCTCACCCTTGCCATCACAAGTGGTACCCATATCAATGAATGTTACTGTTCTTCTCCACACTTTTGGAAAGGGGCCCTGAATGCAATGACTGCTTACTGCTTCCTCAGATACCCTGGTCAGATCCCAGACCTCGCCTTCCCAAAGTGAAGAGGCTTCCCAAGAAAGGAAGACAAGCGCCTGCCAACAATGATGAGCAGTTAACCATAGCCTAAAAAGCAAAAGCCCTTCAGTACGACAAAGGGACCAATGATCAATTTAGCTAGTCGTGTTCTCCTACATGTTGATCTATGTGCTGGAAGGGTCCCGCCTGGATCTCTGTGAAGATGTTGAGGACGCCAACTAGTCGAGCCGGAGAGGCAGCTCTTGCGGCAGCGTGGCTGGGGAATTGACAAAACAGCAAAAATATAAAATATACTAATTGTCAATCTAGTAATGTTTTGAAACAGATGACAACGCTATGAAGCCGAAGATTACTTGTCGTGAAATCCATGACAATGTTCTCAGCATGACATCCACATCCTCATTCCATCACAACCCCCCCCCACCCCCCCACCCCATTTTAATCACACGACTAATCGATGACACTGTTATGAAACCGATGACAATGATATGAAACCGAAGATTACTTGTCGTGAAATCGATGACAATGTTCTCAGCATCAACTTCAAAAATCACTTTAGTCACACGTTCGGTTTTACACCCGCAGGCATATACATATATATATATATGCACCAGTCTTTTGGATGGTGACACATAAGTTGGATTGAACATTGGACGCATAGGGCTGGTAAAGAGAAACATGCACATGCACTCCAGCGTCCGCTTCAGCATTATGGCCTCACAAGTCCCACAAGCCAGTGCTGCAAAGAGGCTAGACTTTGCAACAAGAAAAGCTCCACAGACTCAAGCCGAAGCAAGGCCAGCGGGGTTCTTGCTGACATCCTCCGTGCATTGCAAGCTACTACAACAAAGGGTCGCCTCTGATGAAACTTGTGTGGGATATAGTTTACAGCACCATGTCGCGTTTGGTGGGTCGCTATATTATGGAACAAAAATACATGAAAACGGCAGTAGAACACTGTTGGCAACTTCAACAGCCTCGCCTTTCAATTTTGTGCCAAGCTACGCCAAGACTGCATCATGTCCTAGCGTGAACGAGCTTTCCAAAAGGGGGTTCTTGAGGCATGTAGGCATGTCGGCCCTTATGAGACTTGGGGGTGAAAGGAACACTACCCATCATCCATACACCTCCAGCTGCATTCATCTGATTCCTGATCGGTCATGTATTGACAACTTTGAGGCTCAAACAGTGTCAAACAAAGGTGAATCCTTTGGACATCTTTGGATCAGACTTCCACAAGGAGTCAAGGAGCGGTTGCATAGTGTTGCGTTTGCTTTGTGTTCAAAAGCAAAATGCTGATGCCATCTGATGCCTAGTGTTTCAGAGCGCTCTTGGCCTCTTGTGAAGAACCATGTCCAATTGGCTGTTCAAGTATGCAAAAAAGGGCTTGTGAGGACTGGGAGAAATCCAGCACAGAATGCGGGAAGCGGCCAACAGGCAACACTATTGAAACTCATAGGCACACATTTTCAGAACTCCTGGCTCCTGGCCTTGTCAACATCCTCCGAAAAGATTGGACAACATTCGACTACTATGTAGAAGTATACAGTATACATGTCTCGGGCCGGGAGTGCTTCAATTCCTTCGTGAAAAGCAATTCACCGTCTAATTGCAAAAGAAAGAAACAACTGGCAAGGTGCAGCCTGCCGTCTGACACAGTTGTTCAATTTCACGTTCGCTTTTCCCGTGAGTATGACTGAGACAAAATGTAAAAAACACAACACACGGCTAGGGAAAATGTCTACTCTTGCTAAAAGGTGTTCTCAGTTCGGATGGTTCTCTAGTCTGGAATTGCACAACAAAGTGTACATATATAGTAGGTACCAAAAGCAAGGACCCGCCGTGAATCTGTCTGGCGCTCTCACACTCCTTGTTGTGGAAGGACATTGGGTGCGCAGCTCTCTCTCTCTCTCTCTTTTGGAACTGAGAAAGTCAAAGTGCTTCAAGTGTCCATGTTGTCGAGTGTTGAAGTACTCAGCAGCCTCAGCCAAATCCCCCAGTCGAAGTGGACAAGTTAAATACCGGCTGCCAGTCCGGCCGTGTGGATATATATATATATATATGTATATATATAACACATAGCATGATATATACAATTAAGACTAATGATGTAACTATGTATATATATATAATATAGTTATATGTACATACGGTCTATCCATGGAACGCTTTCTTGGGATCCAAGCTGGGAACTCCACATCCGACCCGGTCCCAGGGTCTAGTCCCAGGCCATTCAATTAATCGAAAAAACACTGACCTGATTTGTCAAGTCAAGATGTCTGAGAATGAGTTGACTGAGTTGACCCTCGACAATGTTCACTTCTGCGAGCTTTGGTGATATGGACCGTGGGTTTTCGACGTGAGAGTACATACACAGCTCAGCTGCAGACCTCCTGGATACGGCAATGACCAGAATCAATGCTGCAAATAGGCAAATAGCATGTTAACCCCAAGAAGTGCTTATCGTGGGCCGTATTGGACCGTGTATGGGATGTATCTGTCTGAACAAGCCCTTTTTCACATCGATCCACAATTTGCACTGCACGGTATGGGATTGTTAACATGTTTACACATATTTATATAGATACATCTCTCTCTATATATATACTATATTTAAGTTATCTTAAATCTATACACATTATAAACACGATTTCACAATACAGTAAACATTACAGTAAACGTGATTGGCTGATTGGTTGACTGATATGCGGCTATGCGATACCAATGAACATCAATGAACCAACAGTAGTGAGCCCAACCTCCCAATCAACAGGTTTCAACGAGCGGCCAGCATCAGGTCAAGCGCAGTCTGGGCCACCTTGATCAAAGCACAACCCGAGGTCACAGGACGAATTTCTGGTGCAAACAAAGTCCAGCACGCCGCAGTCTAAATTGAAATCCTGTGAAATGACATGAGCTGCTGTCTTACCTGATGTCACATGTGGATTCCCCAGGTGTTGTTCATGTGCTTTCTTCTTGAACACCACACGAACCCGCGCCCACCTACCTCAAGGTACGTCATTGTCAAGGATTGAGTCTTTGGATGTCTTTGGTGTGGTCCAAAGCTTTGTCATTTGCCATGTCAAAGCCTACTGCAATGTCAAATCCATCTAAATCCTATTCCTCCAACTCCCAAGTGAGCTGCAAGGACAATCAACTCATGTTTCAGCTGCAAAAACAATCCACTGCATTGTACTTCCCCCTCACCGCATTCAAAATCATTGGCAACCTATGGCTGTCTCAAGTTCTACTTGTTCTTTGCCGCAATTCTTCAATGGCTGAGAGGCCACAGCGCTCATCTGGTACTCCCGCAGGATGGTGGTGATGACCCACTCTCCTGACAGCTGCACTTCATCTCCCGATGTTGCCGCTTCTCTTCACACGCCGATTCTGGCTCAAAAGGCTGGTGGCTAACCTCTTTGGCTGGCTAAACAACGACCTCGACTGTATAGGTCTCCTAGACTTTCAGATCTTTCAGGTAACCTAAGCAGTTGAGATGAATTTGGCCATGTTTGATCAAACCTTCCACCTGGTGGTTGCATCGGATGTCGTCCCCACAGATCCAAGTGGCCAAGAGAAACGAGGACCATGAGGTCCATGCGCGCTCGCAGGTGATTTAAGTCCAGAAGTGACAAAATGCTGGTGTAGTTCCACAAGGCAAAATACACCAAGACCTCGCCACAGCCACAGAGTGTGCTCCACACTCAAAACTGAGTCAAAAATCAAGAAAGTGTTTGGCTTCAGGCTTCACGCAGAACAAAATGGCACAGCCACTCAAGAGAGTAGCTTGTGTCGTGGAAGTGACAGAATGAAAAGAGCAGCCACAACAGTCTGACACAACGATATGATTTGGAAGACCAGCGGCCACAACGACAGCCATGAACACATATTTCCTGGGCGGGCCACTCTAGAAATCAGGGTCAGGAACATATTCACACGCTTGAGTTCAAGCTGAGCATGAAAAGATTCAGCCCTTATGGAGCTTTATGGCATCTGCTTTAGTCGAGGTCCGGGTGGGTCAACACATTTGACACACTGGCTAGAACCCAAAACCAGTTGCCGGGGAACGGACTTGAGACAAATCCTCAGTTGGGACGTACACCTTGGCATCATTTGGCATCTTTACAAACAGGTATGAAAGGATCCGCGAGGTGGGCAGGGCATGGCAGGGCCAGGCACCTGGATCGTTGAACCTGAGTGTACGACACGTACAGTCGCGTACAGTGAGACATCCAAGGCAAGCGGAGGAAAACCTTTCTTCGCCCCAAGTTCTCTTCCCAGTCACGAGTCGAGACGGGTACTGTAGATCGATTGATCTACAGGCTTCGACCCAGAAAACAAGCAACCAAAGATTCGACCCATCGGATTCCGCCGGAAGGCTGCACCAAATTTGGTGGATCCTTGTATCAAAGAAGAACGTGAAAAGAGCACTGAGAAGTTTCCATCTTTGGGTCTGCAAAAAACCATCCCTCTGGAACCCAGCTTCGTGAGCCCTGGCACCAGCCTTGGACGGAAACAGGCGGCACAGGCTGGATGACCGGCTGCAAACTAGTGCTGGAGTTGGGGTTCCTTTTTTGAAGTTTCCTTGATGAACTCGGGTCTCAAGCTTCCTACCAAAAACACAACAAGTGCAATGCAACCTCACTGTGCATCTCACGTTAACGGTTATGAGTCATGTCTGTCTGACTAATGTTCACCCTGTAAAATTATGAGAGTCACATGGAGTCTGCACACATCCATTTTCAATCACAACACCAACATCCACTTGCTCCGCTTGTGCACTCCACTTATCTATGCTATGCATCACTGATAAGTGTCTCACCCCGTGAGAACCTTACAATGGCCCGGAAATCCGGCAGATTTTCAGCGGTGCCTCAATAGCTTGGTTCGGCTTGGTTGAACTAAAGGTACTTGCTGACAATTATTGAATGGCAACCTGTAAGTTGTGAGGAGCATAGCATATTGTAGTAAGCCAGGTGACAGTAGGATCAGCAATCTCAAAAGGTTTCCGCATGCCATAACCACCTCGGGCACAAAGCCAAATCTCCTTGATTTTCGCTCTTGATGTCTGTATGAACATCGGTCTATGTGTCCAAATACATAAATTGACTAGATGCTGTATCACGGCAAATAAACAAACACAAACACTGATAGACAAGTGCTCAAGAATCTCAAGTCACGAGGACTCACATTGTTGCAATAGTAGTAACAAGTGCCTTACTAGTAGTAACAAGAAGCTATTAGAAACAAGTGCCACGCTAGTAGTAACAAGTGCCACGCTAGTAGTAACAAGTAAGCAGCTGCCGGATGGGATGCGGAGACATGGCCCAAAAATGCTGCCAAAGCTCAGCATGAGATCGCGCACGCGGTTCAAAGAATGAAGCTTGTGCAAGGACAACCTTGGTTTCATACCAAACAACAACCACAACGGTTGAATGACAAAACATGTCCTAACTTCCTCACTATTACTTGATATAATCAAGTTCCGCATGCAGGATGAACAACACATGTCACACCTTTGCATTGAACTTTGCCAGCCTCAGCCAAGCTACCAATTGAGCCCCAGCACTGAGCATCATGCCGTTCTGAAACCTCACAAAAGTCGCATCAAACTGACAATAACGCATAGCTTATGATAGATAGACTAGCAGGTCGATAGCTCATGCATCACATGTCAATCCACTTGCAAACGATCAAAACTACGTTCTCAGAAAGGTGTGTCTGTGCGCTGAAGCAAACTCGAAAGCTTGCTGGCCTGTTGACATACTTCTCATTCTCATGCCACGATGCAATGCAAGGTGGATGAGCATCAGTCTTCATCTCGGCCCAAAACTTGTTTGGGTGCTGTCGTTTTTTAATTTTTTGGACTTGTCCTTTGCCATTGGTTATCTTCCACAGAGTATCTTCAAGTAAGTCCTCTTGAGGCGCTACCATGTGCAATGCAAGTATAAATTTCTGTTGTCCAAGGTCCTGGCTCCAGAAGACATCAACATAGTGCCAGTGGTGACCAAAAAACAGCAAATCAGCAGTACAAAGTCATCCACCTGCCACACATTGACGACCTCGTCCCAAGAGCGCTTCAAGTGGTCCAAACATGTTCAGCCAATGTTCAAAGCGAACAATACTCTGAGATGTGGACGTATGAGACAAAATGGACCGACTGCATCATCACCACCCACAGGACCACACATAAGCCGTAGTTGGTGAACTTAGTGACCAAGAATTATCAAGTCACAAAGATTAGGTGAAAACAATCGTTCGATGGACGCGAGGCTAGCCTGACCACCATATTGTGTTCAGTTGGTCGTGCTTCTCTTGAGCCCTCACTGTCTACAGCCTTCAGGATATGTTTCTTTTTTAAGTACAGTATTATGAAACGCTGGCTCACGGAGAAGGAATGAACCGTGCAACTCTTGCTCAGTACTTATCTGATTGCATCCAGGAAGCAGTTTGACCACCAACCTCGAAGGTGTGGCTCAGATTGGATAGCATGGCCACCATGATGAGATCATTAAACCTCGCGTGGGCTTCTCCAGTGTGGAGACATTGAAACATCGGCTGAAGTGAAGCACCATGTGTTTTTTCGTGCCAAGGAGCAGCTCAATCCAATGCCTAGGAAGATGATGGACTTGGGCCATTGACGTGTTCAGCAACAATATCTGAACATGTCATTTGGTGAGGCTTCATGATGGTCCAAAGTCGTCATATGGAAAGCTTTCCGCATGAACAACACTATGCCCGGTACAAGCGCCCCTCTTTCAACATCTTTCAACATCACAGAGGCTGCTAGTAACAAGTGCCACGATAGTAGTAACAATTGCCTTACTAGTAGTAACAAGTGCCTTACTAGTAGTAACAAGTGCCT